GCAATTCATGGTTGTACGTGGGCTGGGATACTGCCAGGGCGCCCACACCTAGACAGGAGGACGATTAGGGTCCTCAACCAAAGCCTTTGGCTCAAAAGCCTAACCGCAAGGCAGCGGTGTTTGGCGGGGAAATGCAAATGCATTACCTTTTCTACGGAACAAGTCGCCATACATGTTCCAACCCCCAACCTGGAGGACCAGGAGACTGTGTTCGTCTGACCTCTAACCATTGACCAACCTGGTATGAGAGACTCTGTGAGTGTCGCGCGGACACCCCCCAGTATAGCTCAATGGGTCGCCGAGGTACACAAACCGCCACACCACGATAAGGTCCAGTCTCTTCGTGTCAGGCAGAGACATGGAGCTGTACAAAGAGTTTTCTGTAAGTAGTCTAACTGTCATATGTGTTTTGTCCGGTTTAGCAGCAAGCGCATACTTTTACACACTAATATCCCTGGATGTGCGATATTCTCACCTACTAGAAAAGTCATGCGTCAAACCTAGTCCAGTATCAATGAACCAAATAGTTGAAGGAAGAACGAACAGTCCCTTTTTACTACAGTCGGTGAAAAACATCTCACAGTGCGTTTTTCCCCCATCCTTATCCGCGACTACACTTTCTACTCACTACCTTGCGCACTGCAGATCAAGTGAACCTTGCGCACTGCAGATAAGTCAAGTGAAGTTTTCAATCAGCGCCTACCACCTAAAAAGACAGTTTACCATCTCGTTTTTACACAAAGCCTATCTTAGTGAGGATTCACAGTATTCTATGGTTTGGGTGTATCAACGGCCGGTAATCAGCAATGGAGTGGCTTTCAGATGTATCGCTGGCGTTAGACAAGTTTACATCAGATCGACAATAGATCGCCTCAAAATAAGATTGGGTTTTCGTCACAAGGTGAACTATTCCAACTGTGTTGGACATTTCCGTAGTTTGCTTTCATAGTCAAGTCTAAATTTCATCCTTATTGTTTTCGATACTGCTGAAAAGGCTTAAGTCTTTTTGTCCCAACTATATATATATATATATATATA